TATTTCTCGTAGAGATGGGGTTTTGCCATGTTGTCCAGCCTGGTCTCGAACTCCTGGGCTCAAGTAATCTGCCCACCTTAGCCTCCCAAAGTGCTGGGATTACAGGTGTGAGCCACCACACCCCACCTGGATGTGATTTCTTTACTGGAGCAAAGATGGTTTTGGTACGTGGTATGCAACTACTTATTCTTTATATCTGTTAGGAAAGATCACTGAAGCAGTTTACTTTCTTTCTTTCTTTCTTTCTTTCTTTTTTTTGAGACAGTTTCCCTCTTGCTGCCCAGGCTGGAGTGCAATGGTGCGATCTCGGCTCACCACAACCTCCGCCTCCTGAGTTCTAGAGATTCTCCTGCGTCAGCCTTCCTGAGGAGCTGGGATTACAGGCACATGCCACTACACCCGGCTAATTATATATTTTTAGTAGAGATGGGGTTTTTCCTTGTTGGTCAGGCTGGTCTTGAACTCCCGACCTCAGGCGATCCACCCACCTCGGCCTTCCAAGGTGCTGGGATTACAGGCATGAGCCACTGCGCCCAGCACAGCAGTTTCCTTTCAACTGGTAGGGCCAGCACTACACCTTCAGTCTCCTTCCTCAGTGGTTTATCAACTGTATGGAAGATCATTGCAGCACCGCTGCCCCACTCAGAGAAGACCCTAAGCGACAGTAGTAAAGGAAAATCCCACCATTGTGCAGAATTTTGAGCAGTACATATGGTTGCCTGAAAGGAGAGCTAGACAGAGGTACAGACACACACGCACACACACTCTCTCTCTCCCCCTGCCGCGCCCCCCCCCCAACTTCAGAGACAAATTCTCTCCCACTTCACATTTATAGCAACTCCTGGTCCTTCCGACCGACAAAAACCAAAAAGCCCAGGCCAACCCCAGAAGCAGACACAAATTGTGTGTGTGTGTGCCACGACTGACTAAAGGTTTGACTTTCAGGGTGTTGATATTCAGGGTATTGGAGGGAACACGTTTGGAAGATTGACAACGACGTCTGGAGAAGAGCTATGCAAATGAACCATCATGCGCTGACACAAAGTGTGACAATACTAATATACTACATGAATGCTCGCCAAAGCACAACTCCAGTAGAGGAGGATTTTAATAATCAAACCACTAGGATGCCCCGTTCTTTCCCAACCATTTCCTCCAGTCATCCCTGTCTTTGGCCAGTAGCTCATCATGGTGTTGAGGGTAAAAGGTTCGCCTGGTGCAGCCACATGGGCTTCCACTCATCAGATTTGATCTGTCTACAGCCACTGCTGAGTGTCTACTCTCCCAATCAGCAGGGCCCAGAGTCTTGGGAGCAGGAAGTAACAATTTGCTGGTGAATCATTAGGGATGACAATGAGAAGAGTCTCTCCTACTTCCATCTCGTGTTGGAAATTCCACTGACTCATGCAATGAGAGCTACTATGGCAGAAAATGCCAGGTGGAAATGCAGAGAGCAACACTGAACCCTGAATAAGGCAGTATTCCCCAGACTGAACAGCCACCACTTGGTGGCAGATTGATTAAATTAGAACACTTCCATCATGAAAGAGGCAACACTTCTCCAAGTAGACACTCACTTTGGATCTGGACTTCTCTTCTCAGTCCACACGCTGCTGCCAAAAACACCAACTTACAGAATATCTTTTTTTATTGTTACAGTATTCCACTAAGCATAGCTTCTGACCAGGGAACTCATCTTACAGCAAGTAAAACATGGCAATGGGCTCGTGATCATAGACTTCACAGGGCTTACAATGTGCTGCTTGCCCTGGAGTAAATGGCCTAATAGCATGGTGGAATGATCTTTCTGAGTCTCGGGTGCAATGCCAGCTGAGTGCTAACACTGGGCAGGGCTGAGGCAACGCCTTCCACGATACCCTGAATCGGTGACCAATATGTAGTGCCGCTTTTCCCATAGTCCGGATTCAGGAGCCCGAAAATCAAGGATTTGAAGTGGAAATGGCTCCTCTCACTGTCACTCCTAGTGGGCCACTAGGGAAACTTTTGCTTTCTAGCCCCATAGCTTTGGGCTCTGTGAGTTTAAAAAGCAATTTATCTGCCTAGGTTAATTATACAAAAGTAAAATATGTGGCCGAGCTATCATTCAGCGGCTGTATTAGGTGTTTGCTGAAAACAAAGGGAATAGGGGCTGAAGAGCAGAGAATGAAGTTAACCAGCTGGGACCACATGACCAATGGACGTCACACACCAGGGCCTGCTGGGCGTGGGGAGGCTAGGGAAGGGATATCAGGTTGGGGGCGAATTAACAAGGGATAACATTAGGAGAATATCCAGTGTAGATGCTGGTGGTTGGATGCAGCAAACCACCATTGCCTGTGTATACCTATGTAATAATCCTGCACGATCTGCACATGTACCACAGAACTTAGAGTATAATAAAAAATAAATTAAAAAATAACAAATAAAAATAAAGAGGACAAAGGGGCATGTTAAATGACATCATAGCTATGTAATTAGCAAAATCCAAATTGTCAGTGATTTTACAAGAAGAATGATGCAATTTCTAGGATAAAAATGAGAGAAGAAACCTATAGATTAAAAAAGATTTATGAAACCTATCAACTAAAAAAACAAGTAATTTTTCAGCGGGGCTCGGTGACTCACCCCTATAATCCCAGGACGTTGGGAGGCTGAGGCCGGTGGATCACGAGGTCAAGAGATCGAGACCATCCTGGTCAACATGGTGACACCCCGTCTCTACTAAAAATACAAAAAATGAGCTGGGCATGCTGGCATGTGCCTGTAGTCCCAGCTACTCAGGAGGCTGAGGCAGGAGAATTGCCTGAACCCAGGAGGCGGAGGTTGCGGTGAGCCGAGATCATGCCATTGCACTCCAGCCTGGGTAACAAGAGCGAAACTCTGTCTCAAAAAATACAAGAAATACAAAAAACTAGCTGGGTATGGTGCCATGGGCCTGTAGTCCCAGCTACTGGGGAGGCTGAGGTAGGGGAATCGCTTGAACCCAAGAGGTGGAGGTTGCAGTGAGCCTAGATTGCACCACTGCACTCCAGCCTGGCAACAGAGCAAGACTCCGTCTCAAAAAAAAAAAAAAAAGTATTTTTTTCTCACACTCCTTCTATCTTTGGTTTCAGCTTCTATGGATTTAGTTACCTGTAGTCAACCACGGTCTGAAAATAGGTGAGTTATAGTACAATGAGATATTCAGAGAGAAAGAGATCACGTTTATATAACTTCTATTATAGCATACGGTTACAATTGTCCTATTTTATTATTGTTGTTAATCTCTTACTATGCCTAATTTATAAATGGAACTTTATCATCAGGATGTGCAGGGAAAAGCGTAGTACTATATACACAGGGCTCAGTGCTGTCCTGCTTTCAGACATTCACTGGAGGTCTTGGAATGCATCCCCTGAGGATAAGGAAGACTCCTGTAAGGTAAATATTAACAAATTATTTTTTCCCTCTTCTTATTCATGGGAGTGACCGAGACTATTACCTGTCATCAACCAGAAGAATACACAGATGACGGTTCTAAAACCAGGAGCAGCGTGAGCGGCTGCGGAGTTCCACTCCACTAGGAAGCTCTCAGAGACGGCTGGGCAGGAGACATCTGACAGCCAAGCGGACTGGAGCGCTGACTTTTTCTCCTTGAGAGTGATACCTGCCTGTGTCGCTTCTGCTTAAACTTATTAAAAAAAAAAAAAAAAAAAAAAAGTGATACCTGAGGCAGCCTTCAAGGCTGGAGGGCCGAGGTTCTCTGCGTCGCTCCCGCTTGGGGAGTCACTCCTGGCTCTCCGCCGCCGCGCACGAGCACTAGCTGGGCAGCACGCGGCCAATGAGACTGCAAACCTTGTTTGCTTTTAGTTACTGATTGTTAAAGATTAAACTGCTGGTAAGCCGACATCAATAATCCTTCCGGAAAAATCTTTTAACTAAGTTAATAATAGGAAAAAAAAATGGTTGCAATTGTAGATATTAGTCAATCAGAAGATGTGAGAGAGGGAGGTAGAGTGGGTCCCGGGCGGGGTGCAGGAGTGTGTGTGCGCGCACATGTTGGGTCAGGGGAGATTTTGAGCGTGTGTGCAAAATTTCGGGAGGGAGCTTTGTCTCGGAGGAGAGGAGTGAGGACTGCAGCTCTCCCAGGCCAGGTTCTGCCCGACACTTACCCCAACCCCCAACCCCCGCACGCTCGCCCCGCCCCAAGCTGGACAGTTACTCCCAGGGACTCTTCTCCCTTCTTTTTTTTTTTTTTTTTTTGAGACGGAGTTTTGCTCTTGTTGCCCAGGCTGGAATGCAATGGCGCAATCTTGGCTCACCATAACCTCCGCCGCCTGGGTTCAAGCTATTCTCCTGTCTCAGCCACCCAAGTAGCTGGGATTACAGGCATGTGCCACAATGCCCGGCTAATTTTTTTGTATTTTTAGTAGCGACGGGGTTTCACCATGTTGGCCAGGATGGTCTCGATCTCTTGATCTTGTGATCCACCTGCCTCGGGCTCCCAAAGTGCTGAGATTACAGGCGTGAGCCACGGCGCACGGCCCTCTTCTCCCTTCTTTACTCAGAAGGGGGTAGCTGCGAGCCGGGCTCGGTGGCGGGGGCCTGTAATCCCAGCTACTCGGGAGGCTGAGACAGGAGAATCGCTTGAACCCGGGAGGCGAAGGCTGCAGTGAGCCGAGATCGCGCGACTGCACTCCAGCCTGGGGGACAGAGCGACACTCCGTCTCAAAAACAAACAACAAAAAAGAAGGGGGCAGCTGCGAGCATCCCCTCTTCGCCTTCCCTTTGATTAGCTGAGCGGCCTCGACCTAGGACCATCCCGGCCGGGGGACGGGATGCGGAGGGCTTGGAGGAGTCCCTCCGGGAGCGGTGGAGCCCGCGGGAGATTTGCGGAGCATCCTGCGTCTCCAAAAGAGCGAGCTTCCTGTCGTGGGCGGTGTCCACAAAATGTTCCTCCGTGGGTGACAGAGGGGTGCGGTGGGGCCTGGGAGGCTTGTGGGCGATTCCGAGCAGCGGGTATGTCCGGAGTAAGGGGCCAGCCCACGGGCTGGGAGGAAGGGGAGAGGCTGCGCCACTGCTCCCGGCTCCCCGGAGACTCCACTGCGGAAAACAGAGAGCTGAGCCCCGGCGCGGATCAGCCGAACTCGACAGGCCCTGGCGGGTCACCTGCCCCTAACCCTGGTTGGGCCGGGAGGGGTCTTCTCCCCACAAGTCCCCTGGGCCGGAGGAGGCTTCTCCTTTCCAACCCCCGCGCCCGGCGCCTGCCTTAGACTGCTGCCGCCCGCCGGGCTCCTCTCTCGCTCCCGGTGCCAGGTGGCCCGAGGTGGCCCGCGCCATCGTGCCGTCCAGCCGACTCAGATTAACGCAGGTTCGACGTTCCGCGTCCTCAGGGAGCAGGTGGGAAGGACGCGTCTGGGGTCTGTGGTCTGGACCTCCGGCCTCGGAGCGCGCAGCAACCCCACGAGGCAGGATTGCGACCGCGGAGGCCTGCAACTGTGACTGAACTCGCGCCTCCTCCACCCGTTTCGCGGCCCCCAGTCCACCCCGGCTAATGGCGTTAACCTTGGATTCCCCTCAATGCCGCGCCCTGTGGCACCCGGGAAAGTCTCCACGCAGGAAGGCCCAGGGCCCTGTGAGTGTACACATGGCGGGGGGCGGGGGGCACAAAAGCTGCCGATACTGTTTGTTCAGATTGAAGTTCGGCGGAAAGCTGTGCCTTCTTATTTAAAAAAAAAAAAAAATTCAACTTTGTTGAAGTATAGTTTACATGCAATAAAATGCACCCACTTTAAGTGGATATTTAGATACGTTTTGACACATCACACTCCACTACCATGATCAAGATACAGAACATTTCCATTTCCCCAAAAATCACCTTTGCCATCCCCCTAGACCACCCTGTGTCCTCTACCCACCCCATCCCACACAACTGAGTTCTAGGCCACCGCTGGACTGCTTTCTTCTACTATGGATTATGTTTTTGTATTTTCTGGAATTTCATATCGATGAAATCAGACACTATGAGCTCTGTGTTCACTTCACCTAATGTTGTTGAGAATCATCCCTATTGTTGGAAAGATCAGTTTAGTTTTTATTCTTTTGAGAAGGAGTTGCTCTGCCGCCCAGGCTGGAGTGCAGTGTCCTGATCTCGGCTCACTGCAACCTATGCCTCCTGGGTTCAAGGGATTCTCCTGCCTCAGCCTCCCAAGTAGCTGGGATTACAGGCACCCGCCACCACTCCAGGCTAATTTTTGCATTCTTTTTAGTAGAGGCGGGGTTTCATCATGTTGGCCAGGCAGGTCTCAAACTCCTGACCTCAGGTGATCCACCCACCTCGGCCTCCCAGATTTCTGGGATTATAGGCATGAGCCACCGTGCCCGGCCTTTTCATTGCTGACTGACTGTGCGCTGTCTGGTTGTACCACAATTTGTTTATCCTTTCTCTTGTCCACAAATATTTGGACTTTTTCCCAGTTTGGGCTATTTTGAATTAAGTTGTTAGGAATATTTATTCAAGTCTGCATGGCTATATGATTTCATTTCTCTCGGGTGCATATCTAGAAATGGAATTGCTGGGTCATATCAGAAAATATATTTTTAATGTAGTAAGAAACTACAAAACTTCTTTCTAAAGTGGTTGAAGCATTTGACACTCCCACCAGTAGTATATAAAAACTCCAGTCGACTCCACATTGTCACCAATGTTTAGTATTGCCAGTCTTTTTAATTTTAGTTATTCTAGTGGGTGTCCAGTGGTACCTTACCATATTTTTGAATTTCATTTCTCAAATAAATATGTTGAGCATCTTTTCACATGTCTGTGTTACAAATGTTTATATCTTATTTAGTGCAATGTCTGTTCAAAAATTTTGCTCATTTTTATCAGGTTGTTTTATATTACTGGACTGTAACACTTTTCTATGTATTCTATATATAAATATATAGAATATTTTTTATATATTCTATATATTTAAAAGTCCAGTAATATAGCCTAAATGTATAGAAAACTTTTACCATGGCTTGCCTCATCATTTTCTTTTTTTTTCTTTTTCTTTTTTTGACGGAGTTTCGCTCTTGTTGCTCAGGCTGGAGTGCAATGGTGCGATCTTAGCTCACTGCAACCTCTGCCTCCAGGGTTCAAGCAATTCTCCTGCCTCAGCCTCCCAAGTAGTTGGCATTACAGGCATGCACCACTACACCTAGCTAATGTCGGTCAGGCTGGTCTCAAACTCCCAACCTCAGGTGATCCGCTCACCTCGGGCTCCCGAAGTGCTGGCATTATAGGCGTGGGCCACTGCACCTGGCCTTTTTTTTTTTTTTGAGACAGAGTCTTGCTCTGTCACCCAAGCTGGAGTGCAGTGGTGTGATCTCAGCTCACTGCAACCTCCACCTCCTGGGTTCAAGCAATTCTCCTGCCTCAGCCTTCCCAGTAGCTGAGATTACAGGCATGTGCCACCATGCCCAACTAATTTTTGTGTTTTCTAGTCAAAACAGGTTTTCACCATGTTGGCCACGCTGGTCTCAAACTCCTGACCTCATAGTCCTTTCACCTCAACCTCCCAAAGTGCTGGGATTACAGTCATAAGCCACCACACCCAGTCTGCCTCATCATTTTAATAACCGTTTCAAAAAGTTGGGTTTTAGTTTTGATGAAATCCAATAATCATTATTTTCTTTTATAGTTTATGATTTTGAGGTCTTAAGAAATCTTTTGCCTTATGTCAGGTTTGCACAGATTTTTTCGTTTGTTTTCTTCTTGCAAGTTTTATAGTTTTAGCTCAAATATTTAGGCCTGTTTAGACCTATTTCTTTTTTCTTTTCTTTTCTTTTTTTTTTTTAGTCTATATTCTATGAAGAAACATGTTTAGGCCTATTTCAAATTAAATTTTGCATATGGTATGCAGTAAAGGCTGAGGTTAATTTTTTTTTCTATGTAGATATCCCATTGTTCCACTATAATTCACTGAATAGGCCACCCTTTTCTCACTAAATTACCTCAGAACCTGTAATAGCTAGAACTTAAGATGGCACCTAATGAATACCATCTGTATGCAGGCCTTTGTGTGGTCCCCTCCCACTACATTGGTCGCCTTGGTTGACCTGTGTAACCAATACAATTTTGCACAAATGAGGGAGTAAAAGTTAACAACACTAGGTCATAAAAACATTGGCTTCTACCATGCTCTCTACCTTGATCTCTCTTGGACCACTCATCCAGGGAAGCCAGCTGGAAACTCAAGCACTCTATGAAGAGTCTTACGTGGTGAGGAACTGAAGCCTCATGCCAGCACCAGCATCTACCTGCCTGACAGGTAAGTGAGCCATTTTGAGTAGATCCTCTAGTTCCAGTCCAGCATTCAGGTGACCAGCCTCAGCCAACGTCTTGATGTGCAACCTCAGGAGAAAGCTTGAACTAGAACCATGAGTCTAAACTGCCTTTTAATTCCTAACCTAAGAACTCTATTTCTAGACTTTTAATTCTGTTCTATAGATTTACATGTCTGTCCTTACAGCAACGCACCACACTGTCTTGATTACTGTAGTAAGTTTGTTTTTGTTTTTACAGAGTCTCGCTCTGTCACCAGGCTGGAGTGCAGTGGTGTGATCTCGGCTCACTGCAACCTCTGCCTCCCAGGTTCAAGTGATTCTCCTGCCTCAACCTCCTGGGTAGCTGGGACTACAGGCATGCACCATCATGCCTGGCTAGTTTTTGTATTTTTAGTAAAGATGGGATTTCACCATGTTGGCCAGGATGGTCTCGATCTCTTGACCTCGTGATCTGCCAACCTCGGCCTCCCAAAGTGCTGGGATTACAGGTGTGAGCCACTGCTCCCCATCCTACTGTAGTAACTCTTAAAGCCTTCTAATATTGTTTTCTTTAAAAATGACTTTGACTCTTCTATATTCTTTGTATTTGTATATCCGTTTTAGAATTAGCTTGTAAATTTCTACAAAAATCTTGCTGGCTTTTGATTGGGTTTGCATTGAAGCTATAGTTTTAATTCTGGGAAAACTGATGTTTTAACAATATTCATGACCACTCTGGGTTGCCACCACCACTGTCACCATCATGCCAGCCCCTCAGGTCTTCGTGAGGCCAGGTGACACTCAAGAATGGGAGACAAGCCAGTTTGGGAGAAGATTACGTCCAGCTTCATTCAACATTACTACTAGTTATTCGATAGCAATAGAACACAGCTAGGCAGAATTTGCAATGGTGTGTCATGCCTAACGTGGGAAGGACAACAGTTCCGTAGGAAAGCTCCCGCTGTGGAGAAGTTGTCTAGCCTTCCATTCCAGAAATCCAGCACAGTGTCACAGCGCAGCACCATCAGCCCACGCCAGACAGCTGCGTCATCAGCATGGTTGTGGGCCAGCTTAAGGCAGATGAAGACGCCATCCTGGGGCTCCACCAGATATTCCTATTGAAGAACATCAACGATGCTTGGGTCTGCACCACTAACATGTTCGGGTGTGCCCTGCATAACTTCAGCTGACCTCTCAGTCAGGCACTTACGCTGTTTCCTCCTCCCTCCTCATCCCAGTACTATTCCCACTCCTCCAGATGCTCCAAATATCATGCACAAATGAGCAGAGCTGCGGTGGAAGTGGGTGCAGTGCGCTGCTGCCACCAAGGTGTTGGGTATGATGTCTGGACTGGTTGCGTCTGATGGAAGAAGTTTGTGTCGTAACTGCTCATGCCTTAGAAAGACTTAAGTAATGCAAAAGGTTGTTCTTTTTTTTTTAAATCTATTGACAAGTTGCTCTAGTAACCCAAAGAATTGAAGGAGAAAGCAGCTGCCTCACCGCCCAGACATTGATTTGTTCAGATGTTTCAATGACTCGTAATACTACAAAACCACAAAATTTTTCTTAAAAAAAAAAATTCGGTCTTCTGATCTATGAACATGGAAAATATCTGCATTAAAAATTTTCTAAACAATATTTTATAGTTTTAAGTGCTCAAGTTTAGGTCTTGCAAATATTTTGTAAAATGTATCCCTAAGTATTTCATGGTTTTTGATGATACAATGAATGGTACTGTGTTTTAAATTTCTATTTATAGTTGGTTGCTGCTAGTACAATATATAAACATACAACTGGTATGTGTATATTGGCCTTTTATCCTGTGACATTTCTAAACCTCCTTCTTGGTTCCAGTAGCTTCCTAAAAGATTCCTTTGGATTTTCCACATGGATATTCATGTTGTCTGTGAATAATGATAATTTTGCTTCTTCCTTTCTGATTTAGAAGCCTTTTATTTACTTTCCTTGCCTTCTTTCACTGATTGGGACTGCTAGTACAATATGGGGGGGGGGGTTGTTTTTGTAGAGACAGGGCCTTGACATGTAGCCCAAACTGGTCACGAACTCCTGGACTCAAGTGATCCTCCCGCCTCAGCCTCCCAAGGTGCTGGGAATACAGGCATGAGCCACTGAACCTGGCCTCTATTACAATATTCAATAGAAGTGGCAAGAACAGACAATGTTGCTCTGGTTTCTAATCTTAGGGGAAAATGTTCAGTCTTCACCATTAAATATGATATTAAGTGAAGGTTTTTCAATTCTTCATTAGATTGAAGAAATTCCCTTCTATTCCTAGTTTGCTGAAAAATTTTATTACAAGTGGGTGTCGAATTTTGTCAAATGCTTTTCTATATTTATTGACATGATGATATTGTTTCCTTTTTTTGGCTGAATAATGTGCTAAATCAACAATGTCGATTTTTGAATGTTAAGCAAATCTTGCGTAATTCTTGAGATAAACCCCATTTGAGCTTATGGGTTTTCTTTATGATTTTCTTATTATATTGCTAAATTTGATTTCCTAATGTTTTGTTAAGGATTTTTTTTTCATCTCTGTTTATGAGGGATATTGGTTAATTTAATTTTATTTTTTTTTTTGAGGCGGAGTTTCGCTCTTGTTACCCAGGCCGGAGTGCAATGGCGCGATCTCGGCTCACCGCAACCTCCGCCTCCCGGGTTCAGGCAATTCTCCTGCCTCAGCCTCCCGAGTAGCTGGGATTACAGGCACGCGCCACCATGCCCAGCTAATTTTTTGTATGTTTAGTAGAGACGGGGTTTCACCATTTTGACCAGGATGGTCTCGATCTCTTGACCTCGTGATCCACCCGCCTCAGCCTCCCAAAGTGCTGGGATTACAGGCTTGAGCCACCGCGCCCGGCAATTTTTTTTTTTTTTTTCCTTACAATATCCTTGTCTTTGTTTTGGCAACAGGATGATGCTGACCTCCTAGCAGGAGTTGCAAAGTACTCACTCCTATTTTCTGGAAAAGTTGATGTGACTTTGTACTATTACTTTCTTCAGTGATTGATAGAATTCACTAGTGAAGCCATCTGGCTAGAAGTGTTCTTTGTGGAAAGGTTTGTAATCAGAAATTCAAATTCTTTAATAATTACAATGAATATTCAGGTTATTTCTTCTTGAGTTACATCAGTCTTCAAAATCATTTTTCCCTTCTATCCAAGTTATTGAATTTATTAACATAAACTTGTTCAGAATATCCCCTCATCGTCTTTATATTATCTGTACAGTGTGTAGTGATGTTTTCTCTTTCATTCCTGATATTGGTAAGTATGATAGCTTTCTTTTTTTCCTATGTAGTCTGACTAGAAATTTTCAAAGTTATCGTTTCAAAGAATCAGCTTTAGAGTAATTGATTTCTCTGTTGTCGAGGGATTATTTCTTCTTTGTATTTTATTTTATTTATTTATTTTTGAGATAGAGTCTTGCTCTGTCACCTAGGTTGGAGCGCAATGGCAGGATCACGGCTCACCGCAGCTTCAATCTCCCTGGCTCAAGTGATCTTCCTGCCTCAGCCTCCTGAGTAGCTGGGACCACAGGCACATGCCACCATGCCTGGCTAATTTTTAAAATGATTTGTAGAGTTGGAGCCTTGCTATACTGCCCAGGCTGATGAGGGGTCTTCTCTAATTATCTTGCTCATCTTTATTTTTGCTTCCCTTTGCTTCCCTTGGGTTTACTTTGCTCTTCTTTTTCTAGTCCCCTGAGATGGAAACATAGATCACTGATTTGAGATCTTCATTATTTTCTACCTTAAGCATTTGATACTCTTAATTTCCTTGGATGCTTAACTGCTTCCCACAGATTTTGCTACATTGTGTTTTATTTTCATCCAATTCAAAATATTTTCTAATTGCCCTTACCTATAGGTCATTAAGATGTGTATTTCATTTCCAAATATTTGGGGATTTTCCACATATCTTTCTGTTATTGGGGTTAATTACATTATAGTCAGAGGATATACTCTGTATGGCTTTATTTTATTTTATTTTTTTTGAGACAGGTCTCAGTCTGTCATCCAGGCTCACTGCAACCACCACTTCCTCATTCTCCTCAGCCTCCCAAGTAGCTGGGACTACAGGCACCTGCCACCATGCCCAGCTAAGTTTTGTATTTTTAGTAGAGACAAGGTTTCACCATGTTGGCTAGGCTGATCATGAACTCCTGACCTCAGGTGATCCACCCGAGTTGGCCTCCCAAAGTGCTGGGGTTCCAGGTATGAGCCACTGGGCCGAGCCCTACTTTCTCAGTAATTATAGAAGTAGACAAAAACATAAACAGTCTTGATAGAAGACTTGAGCAATCCTATCAACCAATTTGATCTGACTGAATGTATAGAATACTCCACCCAACATCAGCAGAATACACATTTATCAAGAAAGACTACACCCTGGGCCAAAAAATAAGTCACAATATATTTGAAAGGATTAAAACCATCCAGAGTATGGCCAGGCACAGTGCCTCACACCTGTAATCCCAGCACTTTGGGAGCCCAAAGTAGGTGGATCACTTGAGGTCAGGAGCTTGAGACCAGCCTGGCCAATATAGTGAAACCCTGGTTGCAGTGAGCTGAGATGGAGCCATTGAACTCCAGCCTGGGCCACAGAGCGAGACTCTGTCTCAAGAAAAAAAAATTACTGAGAAAGCGGTGTTGACATCTCCAACCACACTTGTAGGTTTGTCTGTTTCTCCTTTTCATTCTCTCAGTTTTTGTCTCTTGTTTTTCAAAGTGCTTTTATTAGTTGATTGTACTTTTAAGAGTATTATATCCTCCTGAGGAATTAACCCCTTCATCATTGTACAATTACATTACATCTTCTCCTTGTAATCTTTAGGTTGATGTTAAACAGCTATTCCTGCTTTCTTTGGTTAGCATTTGCATGACATATCCTCTCCCATTCTTTTACTCTTTTTTTTTTTTTTGAGACAGAGTCTTGCTCTGTAGCCAGGCTGGAGTGCACTGGCACAATCTTGGCTCACTGCAACCTCCGCCTCCTGGGTTCAAGCAATTCTTCTGCTTCAGCCTCCTGAGCAGCTGGGACCACAGGCGCGTGCCACCACACCTGGCTAAGTTTTGTATTTTTAGTAGAGACGGGGTTTCGCCATGTTGGCCAGGATGGTTTCGATCTCTTGACCTCGTGATCTGCCCACCTCGGCCTCCCAAAGTGCTGGAATTACAGGTGTGAGCCACCACGCCCGGCCCATTCTTTTGCTTTTAACTTAACTGTGTCTTCATATTTGAAGCAAATTTCTTGTAGCAAACATATACTTGGATCTTGATTTTCTTTAAATACTGCAACAATTTCTACCTTTTAATTGGAATGTTTAGAGTATTTACATTTAAAATAATTATTGATATGGTTAGATTTAAGTCTCACGTCTTTGTCTCCATTTTCTATGTTCCTTATCCATTTACTGTTCCTTCCCCTCTTTTCCTGCATTCTTTTTGATGAATCAAACATTTGAAATTGATAACATTTTGTCTCCACCATTAGTTCATTAGCCACACCTTTTAATTTTATTTACTGAACATATTTTTAACTTACCGTGGTTCACATTTACATAATAGTATATTATTTTATGTAGAGTGTAACAGTGTAGTTCAATTTATCTCCTCCCATTTTTTTGTGTTATTTTTATTTGTTCATTTTTGAGACAGGGTCTTGCTCTGTTGCCCAGCCTGGAGTGCAGTGGTATGATCTCGGCTCACTGCAACCTCTGCCTCCTGAGTTCAAGTGATTCTCCTACCTCAGCCTCCCAAGTAGCTGGGATTAGAGGCATGTGCCACCATGCTCCGCTAATTTTTGTATTTTCAGTATAGACGGGGTTTCCCCACGTTGGCCAGGCTGGTCTTAACTCCTGACCTCAGGTGATCCACCCACCTCGGCCTCCGAAAGCGCTGGGATTACAGGTGTGAGCCACCTCGCCCAGCCCTCTGTGTGTTATTTTTAGATATTTTACTTATACGTATACTACAAACTCCATACTACATCGTTTTGCCTTAAACAGACAATTTTCTTTTAAACAGATTTAAAATAAAGACATCGTTTCTGTTTTTTCGCAGGTTGACCATGCCCGGAGCTCTTTATTCCTTTGTGCAGGTCTGTAGATCCAGGTCTGCTTTGCCATCGTGGCGCCTCTCCCTGACGTTTTTCCTGTCTTCTCTTTTTTTTTCCTTTTCCTTTGTTCTTTTATTCATTGTGTGTGTGTGTGTGTGTGTGTGTGTGTGTGTGTAGTTTTGCTCAACATGAGTTATCTTAGGCTGGGTGCGGGGACTCACACCTGTAATCCTAGCACTTTGGGAGGCCACAAGGTCAGGAGTTCGAGACCAGCCTGACCAACGTGGTGAAACCCCCGTCTATACTAAAGATACAAAAATTAACCAGGTGTGGTAGTGCATGCCTGTAGTCCCAGCTACTTGGGAGGCTGAGGCAGGAGAATCATTATCTCAACTTTTGTTTGTCCCACAAATAAAGAAAAAAGCTTTTTATTTTACTTTTTCTCTTTTTTTTGAGACGGAGTGTCCCCCTGTCCCCGAGGCTGGGGTACAATGGTGCAATCTCGGCTCACTGCAACCTCCACCTCCCGAGTTCCAGTAATTCTCCTGCCTCAGCCTCCAGAGTAGCTGAGATTGCAAGAGCCTGCCACCGTGTTTGGCTAATTTTTTGTATTTTTAGTAGAGATGGGGTTTCACCATGTTGGTCAGGCTGGTCTCTAACTCCAGACCTCAGGTCATCCACCCACCTCAGCCTTTCAAAGTGCTGGTATTGCAGGTGTGAGCCACCACACCTGGCCCATTTCTGAAATATATTTTCATTGTATATAGAATTCTTGACAGGTTTTTTGTTTTATTTCTTTCAGTACTTTAAAGATACGGCAATGTTGTCTTCTGGCTTGCATAGTTCTTGATGAGAAATCTGCAATCATTATTATCTTAGTTTCTTTGGTAGAGTATCTTTAAAAAAAAAAAATCTGGCTGCTGGGCCGAGCACGGTGGCTCATACCTGTAATCCCAGCATTTTGGGAGGCCGAGGTGGGTGGATTACAAGGTCAAGAAATCGAGACTATCCTGGCCAACATGGTGAAACCCCATCTCTACCAAAAATGCAAAAATTAGCTGGGCATGGTGGTGCACGCCTATAATCCAACCTACTTGGGAGGCTGAGGCAGGAGAATCACTTGAACCCGGGAAGTGGAGGTTGCAGTGAGCCAAGATTGCACCACTGCACCCCAGCCTGGCAGCAGAGAGAGACTCCATATCAAAAAAAAAAAAAAAAAAATCTGGCTACTTTTCAGAATTTTTTCTTTATTGCTGGTTTTTAATATTTTGTTACTATTCGTCTTGGTATGGGGTTTTTGTTTATATTTTATCCTTCTTGGGATTTGTCGAGTTACTTGTATAATTAACATTACAGTTTTAGTCAAATTTGGAACATTATCAGCCATTCTTTTTTCCTTCTTCCTCCTTTCCTTCCTTTACTTCTGGGACTCCAATATATGTACATTGTACCCATGTTGTACTGTCTAATTACATGTAAAACAAGACACTTGACATTGTCCAATAAGTCAGTGAGAAGCAATATTATTTTTTCATCTTTTTTCTCTCTTTACTTCATTTTGTATGGTTTTTGTTTTGTTTTTTTGAGACAGGGTCTTGCTCTGTTGCCCAGGCTGGCGTGCAGTGGCATGATCATGCCTCACTGTAACTTTGGCTTCTTGGGCGTAAGCAATCCTCCCACCTCAGCCTCTTGAGTCGCTTGGACCACAGGTGTACGCAATCACATCTGGCTAATTTTTGTTATTGTTGTGTAGAGAGAGGGTCCCCTTGTGTTGCCCAGGCTGTGAACTCCTGGGTTCACATGATCCTTCCACCTTGGCCTCCCAAAGTGTTGGGATGGCAGATGTGATCCACTGCACCT